CCCACCACCCGCCTGGTCTGAACGGCCCGACTTCCGTTAAGTTGCACAACTCACAACCCACAGGCGGAGGCTTGTGGAGAACAAACTGCCCACACTGACCTGTCCTGCGGGCGTCAGTATGAAGCTCCACAAATACCACAGCACAGAAGCGTCAGCCAGGAGAACCAGGCATTTCTAGAATGAACCATTCCATGTTTTCCTTTGCCCGATTCCGGATCCTAAAAGGGGCCTCACTCCCTCTAAGGGGTTTGAACCGCCGTCTATTAGAGCGACCAGCCTTCACTAGGGGCTGCTGGGGAAAGGCTGGAATGGGAGCTGGGTCTGGGAGCTCCGTCCATTCCGCGCAGGCGAGAGCTCTGCAGCCAGCAGCAAGCCAGCCGGGGAGAGGTGCTGCCAAGGGGGCGAATGGCGGTGATGACTTCATTGATTAGACAGCTTCAAGAATTCAGGGTCTGCCGCGGCCTGGCACTGGGCAGCCAGCAGCTCCTCGTAGCCATTTTTCATTAAAAATAAGGAAGAGGAACAGAGAATTATCGCCTCCGCAGAAGCTATCTGAAATGGCCTTATTTTGAAATGCTGCTTTACAATGTGGACACATCCTGACACTCAAGTAACCTCAGCCAGAAGGTCAGCAGAGCTCGACCCTAAGAATGTGCAAGCTCACTCTCCGGGGAGGGGGACAGCCACGTCACCTGAGGGCGGAAGAGGGACTTAGAACGTGGGAGGCAAACAGGTTCAGCTTTGCCACATGTGTCTGGAGTCACCAGAGAAAACAACTCCCCAGCTGCCCAGGGCCACAGGTGCTCCAGAAGGACCAGGCAGCGGAAGGCAGCAGCCGCCCTGACCTGGCAGGAATCCGGAGGCCCCAGCCTCCAGACCCCAGAGCGCCCCAGTCTTCCCCAGGGTGTGCAGGGGGACCGGTGGGAGGGCAGCTTCTCATCCCTGGCAGAAAAAGCTTAATAAATGCCTTAAAGAAGAAAAGGGGGAGGTCATCCAAGATGGAGCCTTGCAAATACACCCCACAGCCCCGTCCGCACATTCGGTTGCTGCTGTTCGCATTTCTAGGCAGTGACAGGTTTCACTGCTGTGGCTGCTGTTTGGGCAATGCTGGGGTTTGCGGGGAGGGCCGGGTTTGGTGGTAAGACTTGAACCCAGGGCCCTGGGCATGCTAGCACGCCCTCCACCCTGAGCCACACTCCCAGCTCCTAAATGCTGCTTTTAAACTCAGATTGTCACAATGGCTGTTCTTCCACTGTATAAGAAAGTACCTTAAGAATTTATTCTCTCTTAAATTCACCTGATGAGTGAGACGAACATTAACACGGTTGCTTATATTTTAAAAAAAGATAAGCCATGTAAAGTCGGCTCCCCGTGAGAGACACGTAGGAACAGAACAGAATCAGGAGCTCACGAGTCTGACCGCCTTGAACGTGGCTGGTTCTGTGGATTTGATTTTGGAACTACATAAATATTTTACATAACTAGGAAACAAATTCAAATGCTGCAAAACCAATTCCTTAAAAATTAAAAGTAAACTGAATTCAAAAAAGGATCCACCTGGGGGACCTCTCTCCAGAACAGATGTTCCCTGCAGCCTTAATACACTATTTTGCTCATCAATCTCCAGAGGGAATGTGCTGAAAAGAGAAAGAACTGTCAAGAAGAGACTGTCACCAGCACCAGCCGCCATCTCATCACATTCAGAGATCAGCGGCCACCTCACCAGGGACATCACAGGGACGCATGGAGCTACCCTATACCCTGCCAGCACCACGGAGTAAGCACTGGGGGCATCCGGCTTCCCTTCCGCGGCATGCCCTGGGACTCAGGGACCTGTGTGAACCACAGGTCGCTGTTCTGGAGAGCGAGGAGTCCTGACCTGGCCGAGGGAAAAGCAGATGGGAGGGGAGAGGAAGCACAGACCACGGCTCGGACCTGCACCGGAAGTCTTAGTAGGAAATTTCAGGATGCATTTTGTGTTTAATCATGAAAATTTTTGAGAGCTTCACTTGAAATGATGCTCAACCCAGAAGCAACGGGAACTACTGACATCCTCGCCACGGTTTCTAGATACGCTTCCCACTAACGGTGAGCAGGGCTCCTTAGGAGGACGGTGATCCAGGCCTCAGGCAGGAAAGGCACAAGGCAGGTCTGGGACACTCTGCCATGACTGGCAGGGAAGAGCCTCTCAGGCACCACGGGAGTCAGATCAGAAGGACCTGGGTGGCAACCCAAGGAGGTTCCCCCTGGTCACAGATGAAATAACGGGCACATCAATAGCGTGACAACTAGGCCATCAATAGGGTGACACCAGGCAGCTGGACAGGATGACATCTGGAACAGACTGACACACATCAAATGCATTTAGACCATTTGTCTGTAACGACATGCGTATTTTAAAATCTCACCTGACCTTGGGAGGATGCTAGAGAACTCATTATTTTAAAAACAAATAAATAAAGGAATCTGGCATTTCCAACAGGAACCTCAGGCTAACCAGCAATAGACTGGAATTCTCCTGCATAGAAGGATCCCAGAGAAGAACTGAAGAAGGGCCACTCCAGGATGCAAAACCTTCTAGTGACCCTTCATGACCAGGTGGAGCTGGCCCTGGTCACTCACAGCTGCTGACACCAGGTAAGCACAGGGCTGGACGTCCAGAGCCTGCAGCTAGAGAGGAGGTTGCACTAGGTCTGGGCCCGACCCGGGGCAAGGTGCTGAACCCACCGAACACAGCGGTGCAAGAGCAGGGGCAGGAGCACCACCAGATCCAGGCCAGACCCTGGGAAACCACAGGGTGGACAGCCCAGGTTTCCTTCAAAAGTTGAAAGAAAACTAAGAATGGGGGAGGAAGAGGAAGGATAGATGAAGACATTTAAAAACAGCATCAACCAATCGCAATGGAAGGACTTTGCATCCTGATTCAAACAAATCGTGAACAACATAAAACATTTAAAGACAAACAGAGGAATATGATCTTTGATGAGATTAAGGAATTGTTTTTAGATATGATAATGGAATTGTCTATGCTTTTATAAAGAATCCCTAGCTTCAGAGGTAATGCTGCGATTTCTAGGTTTTGATTCAAAATAACTTAAGAGGAGAGGATTGGTGGGCGAATAGATTAAACAAGCGGCTAGTAGACTTGGAAGAGGTCCCAACAGACAAGCATGGGACAATCTGAACAATAAAGTAAATAACAGTAGCAACAAAGCGTAACTCATGCAATAAAACATTGTGGGGTCCACGTTGGGTCCCTGGGTCCATGTTGGTACAAACCAAAGGAAGAAAAGGGGAAGCTATCGCTTGTGGTGAATTCCAGTTCATAAAAAGTGCCATTTGGGAAACACCATTCAGGTAAGAATTACCCATGGGTCAGGCGCAGTGGCACACACCTCTTAGCTACTTAGGAGGCTGATGCAGGAGGATCGCAAGTCTGAGGCCAGCCTGGGCAACTTAGGGAGAGCCTATCTCAAAAACCAAAGGCTGGGGATGTGGCTCAGTGGTACAGTGCCTGTCTAGCATGTGCAAGGCCCTGTGTTCAATCCCCGATGCCCTCCCTCATAGACATAAGCAGTGCATGGTACAGCAGGGAGGGAAAGCGTGATTCGGAAGAGGAACCAAGCACTTTCCCACAGAATGCTCATTAAAAGGAACAAACATAACTTCACAGCACAGAGCCTTGCGGATACCTCTGTGACCACCTAGCAGAGTTATCATCGCCATAACAGGTTCTGTGCGATTCTGGCCCAAGATGTGTGACTAAAATGAAAATGTGAGGAAACAACGGGAGAACCAAATGCAGGGGACTCTACAGAATGGCTAGCCGGCATGCTTCAAAAACCCCACAGCCACGAAAGACAAAGGACAACCAGGGATTGTCCTAGAATAAATGACACCAGGGGACAGGACTGCTAAGTGCAACATGTCTCCAACAACAACAACAACAACAACAACAAAAACAGTGGCACTGGCTGGGGACACCTGACGGAGGTCTCCAAATTGGTCGATGGTCCTGTACCCACGCCAGTTTCCTGGTCTATCCCTGTTCCACAGTCACGGTGTAAGCGCCCACACTGGGGAGCCAGTGGACGGCACGTGAAGTCCACCCCATCACGGTGGCAACTTGTACTCTGTGTGAAATTTCTTCAGAGTGAAAAGTTCAAATAATTTTTAAAATAGTTATTAGTTGATAATTACTGCAGCTCCATGATGTGCCTTGAGGTTCCTGTGCTGCCCTTGAACTGTGCAGATACTTGAAATGCTCCACATGAACGTTAACAAGAGAGTCAGGACGCCCAACCCTACTGTGCAAGGTGCAGACCCAGCTGGGTTGGAGTCCAGCAGATCAACTGGGAAAGAACCCTTTTGGACAGCTGGGGACGTTGAGACGTGGACTCATCGTCCAATAATAAGGAGCTATCGTTGATTTTAAAGGTAATTTTAAAAAATTTATTTAGGTACAATACAAGTTAAATAAAACTTGTCACCATAATGACATCAGCGTTCAGGCTGCCGACACTAAGCGTGTTCACAAGGTTGTATGGCCATCCCCATGTTCCAGAGCACTTCATGGCCCCAAAGGAGACCCTGCACCAAAAAGCCCCAGGCCCCAGACTCATAGACACTTGTTTCTGTGCCTCTGGATGTGCCCGGGCTGGACAGCTCCTGTAAGTGGGATCACACAACAGCTCTGTCCCTCCCTGCCTGGCCCCCTGCACCCACCAGGCTGTTCTAAGACTCTTCACGCTGTAGCGTCTGTCAGTACCTCACTCACCTTAAAAACCGACGGGAAAAAAAGTCTTTTAAGAGAAAGAAGAGATCAAGCAGATCACAGTGAACCTGGTGGGTGGACACGCGGGGGTCACTGCCCCCTACTTGCATGTGTGTTTGAAGTTGCTTGTGTTGATGGACAATGGGAGGTGGCATCATCTTCTCTCTACTTTTGAATGTGTTTAAAATTTCTCACAATAAAATAAAAGAAATCCTGCCGTTCCTACCTGGTGGGCTTCCACTCCCATCGCTTGCAGGGCCGACTTGAAGAACTTGGGAGAAGGTTTGCCCACCACTTCGGCTTCAATCCCACAGGCGTACTGGGAAAGGAGAGAGACACAGCATGGGTATGGGTCAAGAACAGGTGCATGCCCAGGAAAAGACGTGCCAATGTGTCCCTAGCGGTCAGGAGCCTTGACAAGGCAGGACACCGTGGACCTGAGAGTCACAGGTTACAGGCAAGAGAGCCGTGACCCTTGTGGTCAGGACACCCAGGGTCGTCCCTGCCACCCACTGAAAGGCCTGCGGCAGCATGAGGCATGTGGCAAAGCCACAGCCTCGCCCAGGCCAGGAGACCAGGGCTGGCATCTGCTCACTTGGCTGCCACGGAGGGCCTTCCTGGCTTCCTCCTGTGCGCACCTCCAGCTCCACCACAGGCCTCCTGAGAGGCCCACTTCCACCCACTCAGTGTGGGAAGGCAGGAGCACTGCAGCCCCAAAGTTGACCTGGGGCAGCAGCCAGGGTGAGGGCAGCTCAGGGGATGTGGGTCAGAGGGACTTGAGGGCCACAGATGGCCTTGTCAACTGGAGGGGAGTACAGGAAGGAGGTCAGTTCCATCACATCTGAGGTGCGGCTGCTGACCACGGTCAGGAAGGAGGCCAGTGGTCAGCACAGACACAAAGCCATGAGCAAGAGAGGAGTGCAGCAGAGAGCATGCTGGGAGAGCAGGCAGGGAGGGGCTAGAAGAGGGGACAGGGAGGACAGAGTGGGGACCAGGACAGCCCCAGAGGACGGGGAGTGCACAGCTGGAGGCCCCACACAGGAGGGGGACTTGGAAACAGGAAAGGCCACTTCTGCATCAAGCCTGGCCTCTTCTCTAGGAAGGTCTGGAGGACGTCAGACGTCCCTGAAGAGGGCTGGGGCAGAGCCAGTGGGCACCTCGAGCGCCTTCATGTAGGCTCCGACGTCCAGCATCAGGCCCGAGGTTTCCTTGTAGTAGCGCCTACAAGAGAGCAGAAGGGAGGAGGTGAGCAGAGCCGACTCGTGGGGGCCTGGACAACGGAGCCCAGGGGCCAGCAGCCCTGGAGGTGCCCGCTGAGATCAGGCCTTCAGTCTGGGTAGCTCTGCCACCAGCCTTGGGACCCATTGCAATGATTAACTGGGGACTCCAGGAGCAGCTGGATCCAGGTGCTGACACAGAGGAAGACAAGTGCCCTGTCTTCTGGGAAGCGACAGCAGCACATGGAGCATGTGGCGAACCCGTAATTGCTAATAATTAACCCCAAGTACTGTTGAAGAAGAAAGTGCCATTAGTTCCCCAGCAGCCCGCTGCATCTCCATCAGCAGAGGTCCGGCCAGGGGCCGGGCGCCACAGGCACCAGATGCTCTTGGGAGCCATCGGGAGGCCAAGTCAGCTTGGCCCGCAGGAAAGCTCCTTTCTTAAGACAGGTGCCATGAGGCCAGTGGCTGGGCTGAGCCCTGGTCCTTGACCTGACCTGGCCGCCCATGTCAGACCTGAGCCTGGAGGCACCTGGTCCCAGGTCCATGGAGGACCGAGCAAAGCCATATAGCCATGAAGAGGGGTGAAGGCAGCTCATCCTGCTGCCCTGAAGGACGCACAGAAACCCCAGAGCCGAGAGCGGGATCTGACATCAGAGCTGTGACTGTGTCCTGCCACCCACCACATCAGTGTCCCTTCTCTTCCCTGCCCTCCAGATTTGGGGACGTTAAACAAGCATGTGTGCAGAAAACCAGAGGGAAGGTGAGCAGGCTCACTTCAGGGCCCAAACCCGTCTCTGCTCTCCCACAGGACTCGGGTTGCCTAGAGACACACCATCAACACCCAGTGCTCCCCAGGCGGGTTCTGGAGTTCAAAAACCACTGACTCCTAGAAACCAAAATCAGAGCCTTTAATACTTCCTTCCTTTTTAACCAAATCTGGGCTGGTTTTATAGGCCAAGAATTTTTCTGTATTTCTTATTCATTCAGGAAAATAAAAAAGCCATCTTGAGCCAACTGTTGGATAAAATTTTTTGGAGGAGCAGTAAATACGAGTATTTAATTTATTTCCACACCCTAGAGACTGCGTTCATTCTCTTTTGTTTCTGACCCAAAGGGCCACAGTGGCCCTGCACAGGCCCGTGTGCTGTACCCAGGGGAAGCTGGCGCCAGGACAGGGGGACCAGTGGGAGCAGCAGTCAGATCCGATTTTATGCTTTATTCTCCTGCCGTTTCCGATTATTCAGCACAGCTCCCTTCAAAATGACCACTTGACCTTTCCCAGAAGAGCCATTAACCTTCCATAGTCTGTGGCGTAAACAGCTTAATTTTCTGAAGGCGGCATGACAGAAGAAATTACAAAGCCAATTCCCACTCTGGGTCCAAACAGATGCCAAATGTAAATCACTCCATTCCAGGAGGAGGACACCCTGCCCCGCCTGGCCTCCGCCGCCCCTGCCTCCTCCACAGCACACGCCTCATCAGCGGCCACCCCTGCCCGTGGCAGCACCTTGACAACAGCCTGTCCTGGGTCTTGGGCCCAGAGCGGCCGACCTCACCTAAAAGCCATGGGTCTCCTTCCCTGGCCTAACCCCTCCATGCCCAAGTCAGGGCCCACCGGCTGGAGCCCACCCACCTCTTGCCAAACCCTCCCGCTGCCCAGGCTGTTGCATATCAGAAACCCCAGAGCCGAGAGTCGGTTTTTTTCCCAACAACATACCGACCGATTTTGACTACTCCTCATAATCTGGAACAATTAATTTAACAATTATGAGACAATTTTAAAGAAGAAAATTTAACATAAATGAGCCTTGAAGCGCTTCTGAATGATGCGGTGGTCTAGCACAGGGCTGCTGACCAAACCCCCAGGGGTGTGAAGGCAGGAAACAGAAAAATGACGTGTTGTGCACGCACGGATATGTCACGATGAACCTCCTGATTACAGATGACTGCGACGCACCACTTAAAAAACCCACCCAGGCTGGGGCTGGGGCTCAGCAGTCGAGCGCTCGCCTGGCATGTGTGAGGCCCTGGGTTTGATCCTCAGCACCACATACAAATAAAGAAACAAAATAAAGGTGTTGTGTCCAACTACCACTAAGGGGGAAAAAAAACCACCCAAGGGCTCAGCCCAGCCCCGGTCAGTGAGCTAAGCAGGCCAGGGCTGGGCTGACCTCCCAGCAATGCCGGAAACTGCAGAGGGTGAGAAGGGAACGTCGACGTGGCTGGGTCACAGCGACCACAGCTGACCAAACATGACTTGGGTGTTTCTGTGGAGGTGTTTCTGGATTTACATGGTAGAGTCTGAGTAAAGCAGGGCACCCTCCGAATCCCATCAGGTGAAGGCTCTCACCCAGCGGACTGCCCCCCCCTGAGAGGAAGGCATCAGCCAGCAGACTGAAATCTAAAATCTCCTGAGATCTCCAACTTTTAACCATAGGCCCCAAACACTTTGAGATCTTGTAAGGATCCAACATCTGCTCTAGAACACGGCCTAGGGGTGTGAGGCACAGGCCCTGGGGTTGACCAGGCCAGGGGCACTCCTGGCCCTACCAGCAGCCACCAGGTCAGGGCTCACGTCACCTCCGTGTGCCTCTGTGCCCCCACCTGCCCGATGGTGCACTGCCCACAACTCCAGGGCTGCGGTCAGAACTGAACGACATGGAGTAAGTCCAGCGCTTGGCGATGGCCAACGGCTGAGCAGAGGTCTCTTCCTCGTCCTCTCAAGCAGCTGGCCCTGTTCAGCAGGCAGATGCCATGAGACCAGTCACAGCAGGACCACACTGGACACGGCTCCTCAGAGAAGGCTGCGGATCTGCCTGAGCAGTTGGGGGAGGGCCCCAATGTGTCCTTGTGACCGTGACAGGCCGTGATCCTAAACCTCTAGGTGTTTCTCTGGCGACAAGATGACCCTGCATGGCTTCTGAAAAGCAGCTGGACAACGTGCATCAGGACCCAGAGAGGCCCACCGGGACCCTCTGAGGACACGACCCGGGCGCACGGAGAAACAGCCCCCGCAGGGACCAGGGACAACAGCCACACAACGGGGACCCTGTCACAGAGACAGCCCCTCTTTGTGTGCAAAGCCACCCACAAGACACGGCCTGGTGAACATACAATGAGGTGACAAAACAAGGTCCGGCTGGACACCACAGGGTGAAGAGGCCCTCCGTGAGGACCCTGGGTGAGGGACACCAGGCTGAATCCTGGGGCAGTGGAGGGAAGGACGTCTTGTCTTCCCTTCTGCTCTGCATTTTCTAATTCTTCTGTAATGTCTGTGTGCGATCCTGGCGGTCGGCAAGGGTGTGGAGAACATGACCAGGGCTGTTTCTGTAAGGAAAGGGATGGCGCCGAGGTGTGGCTCTCAAGTGTCCCCTAGAGGGCCAGGCAGTGGGCACTGGTCCCCAGCTGATGAGCTGTTGGGGATGGTGGGATCTTTAGGAGCTGGGGCCTAGGTCACTGGGGTGTGTGCTTGGGGACATTGGGACCCCCACCCTGTCCTCCTTCTCTGTGAGGTGAACAGGTTTCCTCCGCCACATGCTTCCGCCATGATCTCTGCCTCACACAGGCCGAAAGCAATGTGACCCAGTGGCCATGGACTGCAACCTCTGAAACTGTGGATCAAAATAACCCCTTTTCTTTTTAAATCAATTTCTCTCAGATATGTGTCACAGCAACAGAAAGATGACTAACACAAAGGGTCAGGCACATGCCAGAGGCTCAGACTAAGGGCTGCTCATAAAATTACTGCTTTACAGAGATGATGCTCTGGGACCACAGACACTGAGTGCCCAGATCAGATTATCCCCAGGCCCTCAAGCCAATTGGTCACTACTTAGGTGTCCCTGGGGACCGGTCTTCACACTTTGGCTATATCCTGCCCACTGCACAGCCTTCTTCTTTACTCCAAACTTGGGAGGGTCAACATTTGGCCTCTGAGATCTTTGCAGGGTCTCCATCCACCCTGAGCCTGGCCTCTCCTAGCTGGGAGTCCACACAGATGCTTGATCACCCAGCTCCAGAAGACAGGGCACTCTGGTTTCCTAAACAATCACTGAAGAAGAGGAAGGAAGAAATGAGGAGGAAAGGTGGGGGTGGGGGGGGGAGGAGCAGGCCGCCTGTGCTCCCTCCACACCCCGCCTGCGCTCCCTCCACACCCCGCCTGCTTCCTTCTTGATCCTCTCAGAGAACCACCAGGCACGTCCAGGGGAGCCAGAAGCGACTGTCTCCGGGGCTGACTCACCCCTTTCCCAGGGATATGAGCACGGGATTCTCCAGCTCCATGAGAGTCTGGAAGGCCTTGTTCATGTTCTGGTAAGAAAAGCTCTCCCCGGCGTCTGCCAGCACCACGCAGTTTGGGTTGGACTGGTCAATCTGGTCAAACTCTGAGCGGACTCCTGGAGAAAGATAAAGAGATCATGACCCAACCCAAGAACGACGCGGCCTCCCCCGGTCACCCAGGCGCCTGTCACGTCTGCCCCTTTCTCAGAGGCTCTCGGTCCTGTTTTCTCTTTTTTATTAAGTTGATGATTTCTAACGGGCACTGCTCCTGCTCCTGTGTGACCCTCACAGCTACCATGGGGGGTGGGCGAGGAAGGGGTGTTATTAGGAGAAAGACGGAGCTCTCCTGGACCCTCAACCCCACACTGGCCCTAGCCCCAGGAGCTCCCCCACTTCAGCAGGAGGAAGCCCAGAGCTTTGTAACCAAGAGGGAACCTGCAGAGGTGGGCCCTGGCAGGAGGACAGGCTGGGCTGCTTGCAGTCTGAGCATTTGCACCGCTGGCCTCACCCTGGAAGAGCCCTGGACACTTCAGGTGAACACACACGTAGGGGTCCTGCCAGCCCCCACCCCCCGGCCAGGAAGGACTTTCCTTCTTTTACTCCCCCATTTTCAGGGAAAATGGGGAAAAGTGGAAGGGTAAACCGAGTCTAGGCTTCATGGCTTCAGACCCCTTAAGAAACCTGCTCACGTCACCTTGGTATTAGGTGTTGACCTTCTGGTGAAAAGGACAGAGGTAGCCACAGCGAGGCCCCTTCCTGTCCAGCAGCGCCAACGACCTGAGTGCTGATGAGGACGGGGGAACAACACAGCCCTGGAAAGGGGCAGCAGCGTCTTCTAAGACTGGACGTGGGCCTGCCCTGTCCCAGAGACTTGGCTCCCAGCCTTGACCCAAAAGAACCATCAGGAATGCTCACTGCTCCTAAGAGCCCAATACGGGAAACCGCCCAGTATCCACCCATATGGCCACTCACTCAGTGGACTACGACCCTGCACTAAAACAGAGAACAGCCCGTACATGATGTAAATAAAATGTGGAGTCTCAACAATGTTTTGGTGAAGAAAATTCTGTGGAAATTTTGAAAAATTTGTGAAAGTTTTGGCAAAAATGTTTTGCATAAGGAGCCTCTTGCAAAAGACTATTGTGGGGGTTGTGGGGTTGTGGTCAGTGGCAGAGCGCTTGCCTAGCAGGCGTGAGGCACTGGGTTCGATCCAGCACCACATAAAAACAGATAAATAAAAGTACTATGTCCATCTACAACTCAACAAATATTTAAAAAAAAAAAAAAAAAAGACCATTGTGAAAGCGAGGGCTGGCTCAGCAGGCCTGGCCTGCCACACCCTGCACGTCCCAGGAGTGGCCTGTCTTCAGGACTGACCCTCCCCCGGCTCCAAGGAGCGAAGTGCTGGGCCCCTGAGAAGCTGCCTGATAAGAGGGGTCCTCCTGCCTGAGGCCTGGCCCACACTGTATCAGTCTGCCCTCGGGGCTGGTGGCCCTGCACACTCCCATGACTGAGCGCAGACAGCAGGCCTGGGCACCAGGGCTCCAGGGCTCTTCCTGCTTGCCAACACTTCACATGTGCTGTGTCATATCAGAGTGCCACTCCAGGGACAAGGGGAATCTCACACCTGGTCTCCCACAGCCTCTGCCCCAGGCACCTCCCTGCCTGCGGGTTGTCTGCCTTCTTTCACTAAATAACCCCAAGCACCAGCCTCCTGCTGCTGTGAGTCCTCCTAGGGAGACTCCCAGGCTGGGCTGGTCTTGTGGGACCCCCGACATAACTGCACTCAGTTTGGCTCTATTTATAGGAAATTCTAGGAAAAGTACACTTATTTATAATGGGAAATAACAAAATGATGGGCAGGGACTGGGGACTGACTGGGAAAGGCATGGGGACTTTCAGGTGATGGTGATGTTATAGACCTGTGTGAGTGTGTGTGTGTGTGTGTGTGTGTGTGTACTGAGCACTGAGCACAGGATGCGCTACCACTGAGCTACATCCCCTAGCCTCTTTATTTTTTAATTTTGAGACAGGGTCTCTAAGCTGCCCAGGGTGGCCTGGAACTTGCAATCCTCCTGCCTCAGCCTCTCAAGTAGCTGGGATTGCAAGCATGCGTCCCCATGCCCTGCAGTGTTGGAGACACGGGGACACAAAGGTACATGCACGTGTTGAAAGAGCACAAGTCTACCTGAGGTTTGAGTATTTCCTTGTATGTGAATTTTGCATCAACAGAAAAGCCACAAAAAAATCCTAAATGCTAGTTAATAATAGGTTAAAGCACTTCAGGGAACTTTACCAATGTCTGCCATTTACTTGGAAATGACTTCAAAATATAACACAGAGAGGTGAACGGAGGGATGAACAAACACACAGGGAAGAGTCACTGACAAAATCTAGCAGATGGGTATAAAAATAGTTGCAGTAAAATTCTTTGAGCTTTACTAAATATTTGGAAGTTTCCATAATAAAACATTGGGGGGAAATCCATCATCAATAATACTTGAATTAAAAAAAAAAAAAATCCCAGTTTGAAGACGCAGCTACGCGCACGGGAAACAGAGGCAGGACGCCCCCTCCAGCCCGCTCCAGCTCCACTCCCTGCTCCTTCCAACGCTCAGCCTCGCTCAGCGCCGCCATCGAGGCAAAGGTTGTATTTCCCTCTGCTCCTGCCACCTCCACGCCCACCCCCATGTCCAGAAGCCCTTTTCTGGGGTCCAGGGAGACAGAATTTCTTCAGTCTCCTCTCTTTGAGGATCAAGTTCTAAAGACTCTGGCAGGGATCCTAGTTTCCAGAGAAAGGACTCCGAGGAACAGGATTTCTAAAGGCTGGGCAGACGGCCCTTCCTTGAGCTATGAATTCAACCCTTGGGCCTTCCGGGGGGCCCCCTGCACCTCTGAGAGCCCCCACTCCTGCCTTGGGAAGGAGAAAAGCAGCTTGTCTCTGCCCAGTGGTTTGTAGAAATCAAAACCAAGTCCAAAGGAAGCAAGGAAGACACTCCGTGGAGGACAGAGGTGTCTTGAATTCCAGGGCCCTGCCACTATCTCTGCTTTTTAAGTATTCAGAAGGCACCAGGTCATATTGCTCCTTGGCTTTGTCCCCAAAACTTCCCGCAATGAGGGTCAAAGGGGCTCTGTCTTGCATTCAGACTGAAATCAGGATGCAAACCCTGTTCCTCCAGGCATCCACAAGTGGCACCAAAGAGCAGACTGGCCGTGGCAGACACGGTCAGGGCCGTGGGTGCCGTACTCCAGAAAGCTGCACCCAGCTCTCTGTTGTCCCTGGTCAACTCCTTGGCCCCTGGGACCAGTCTAGATCCAGGGATGCCAGTTCCTTCCAGAACTATCTGGAGTGACCTCTAGTGACCCTCTGCCAACGGGGGATGGGTGGGCCCTGGTCCTAACTTACCCCCCTGAGGTCTCCGCTGCACTGGCCCATGAGTGTCATGGCAGGAACCAGTAGTTAGCTCTGTGCCCCTCCCTTGGCATGGCCCAGGTGAGCCTGGGGACCCTCTCCCCAGCCCTCACCCTGCCAAGAGGACACCTTCCCGACCCCCAGAAGGTCCCAGGGTCCAGCAGGCCTACCGTCGTGGACGAGCAGGTGAGGGCGCAGGCCTCGCTCCTTCAGGACCTGACAGGTGGCGGGTGCCGGGGCAGTCACCTCCTCCTGGGAGATGTCAAATCCCAGTCGCTGAAGCAGTGCCACCAGCTCTCCCCGGGACTTCTGCGACTCGTTGGTGCAGAATCTCACCTTCAGCCGGGACCGCTTCAGTCTGTGGTGAGGGGAATGACAGGCACGGGTGGTGTCAGAAGGTGCAGTGTGGCCTCTGGGAAGAAACCCAGAGATGGACACTTCTCCAAGGGTAACTGACAAAGTCCCGAAACAGACCAGGTCACTGTGGGACCAGGGGTGGTCCTGACTAACTCCAGGTGTGCTCAGGCTGAGATTTCTGACCTGGAGCAGACCCTCACGGGGCACCCCAGACATGACCCGCTCCCTGCTCACCCTCACTGGACTTGATATGCCCGAGACTCCCCAGGGCTCCCCCTTCTCTTCCTGTACCTCTCCCTGTACCTGGGACACACTGCACCCCTTGACCTAGGACCCATCTCCGCACCTTGACCTGGGTCTCACGCCTCTGCACCTGTGCTAATTCTATCCCCGATCCCACTCAGCACTTCCCCTCGGCCTGGCCAGAGGCCTCCTGGGAATGGCAGAGCTCTTTCTCTGTGCCTTTCCACACAGCATTTCCACCTGGCCTCTGAGTTCTGTACATCCGGCCTTATTGTCTTTGAGTCCACATTTCCCCAAAAGGGCAAAAGCAGAGGGACTGGGTAGAGGTTTGTCTCCTCACCGCTGTCAGTGAGGAGGGGTGACCCGACACAATCACCAGAGCAATGGATGGCTCCAGCTGGACAGACAGGAGCGTGGCCCGAGCAAACCCAGCACCAAGGAAGTGCGCCCCGAGTCTCCACCAATGGCAGAGCACCGCCATCCTTCCCGATTGCCACCACAGCAAACCTGCTGCGTTCCGGCTGCACTTGGCCAAGTCCTCCAGAGGCAAAGCCACAGGCAGATTACTAGAGGCTCCTAATGAAATGCCATCCAACCCTCCTACACACAAGCACTTACCAAGTGCTTCCTGAAGGCCTACTAAGTGCTGCACACTGGGCTGCAGCTGTACACAAGGCAAGGTCCCTTCTCCAGGGTGGGTGGGAAGCTGGCAGTAATCGGGGTAGGGCAGGGTGGGGGGCCACAGGGGATGGGCAATTCCTATCTGGGGCAGGAAGGCCGGAGGAGGCCTCCCTGGGGTTGACACCCATGGGAAGGCAAGACGCCAGCCACGAGGTGGAGAGGCCGCCCTGCACAGGGAAGAGTGGACACCGGGAGACGACCCATGGGAGGCCCATCTGCCTAAGGAGACGGGGTGGAGAGGCTGGTCTCCCTCAGCAAGGGACCAGCGCACAGGAGGAGGCTGCACACACAGGCAGCGCGGGCCTGAGAGGGTGTAGCCTGCCCTGCTCTGCTCCCTGGCCCAGAACACACTGTCCTGGACAAGCCTGGGCCCCGCCCTCCAGCCCCAGGGAGAAGTCATATCGAGCATCTGCTCAGAGTCACAGTGTAGAGTCACATGAAGGACCCAGGGCTGCAATTCTCAAGTTCAGAAAGGCACTTTTTAAGAAACCCTAGCAAAGTGAGCGTGGCGGTGCACACCTGCAATCCCTGCAATTTGGGAGGCTGAAGCAGGAGGATCACAAGTTTGAGGTGCACCTCAGCAACTTAGACTCTATCTCAATTAAAAAATTAAAAGGGCTGGGATGAAACTTAGTGGTAGGGTGCCCTGGGTTCAATCCTAGTACTACAAACAACAACAACAGCAACAAAAACCCTAGAAAAATTAGCTGGATCTGCTAATGGTCACTTTGCCCTGATCTCAGTCGGGTCCCTAAACGTCCATCTCACTGGTCTCTAAAAACTCTTGATTCCTCACAGAGCCTTCCCAGCTGTATAGATTAATACAGTGTTAAGTGCTTAATTACAATTTGTTAATAAATGTACATCTAGAGAAGGAATGTGCTCAAGTTCTGATTTTGCAGATGTCGCTCCAGTCAAAGGAGTTCAGAGGTCACACATGGATTGGACCCAGTTCTTGGAAATGTGGCTTGAGATCAACTGGCCGTGGACAAGTGAGACCCCAAGAGCCACTCAACCCAGGGGGAGGCTGGCAAGTGAGGAAGCTGGGTCCCAGGCAGGTCTAGGGCTTTCTGTTCCTCTCTTGACCGAGACTCTGGGGTACAGGCGATTCTCTCTTTAATGCCATAGGGATCCTAGGACGCATGGACGGGGACCAGGAAACGGGTGCTCCCAGAGCCCTCCCACGGGGGGAGAAAGCTCGTGTTCCCTGGGAGGTCCTAGAGGAGAGTCCTGGAAGACCAGGCCAAGGATGGCCTGCAGGCCGAGGGAGGAGGAGAGCCAGTCGCGGGCAGGCAAGCGTGCCCCAGCGCTCAGGGGGGCACAGAAGGAAGGGGCGCTGGGGAGGGAGGCCAGAGTGGAGGACCACTGAGAAGACAGGGGGAAGGGGGCTCCAAAGCAACCCTGTTGGCAGTGACAGCAAGTGGCAAGAGTGGCAGGCCTTGGCCCAGTGTCCCCTGTTGTCCCACCCCGCCACCTCTAGCATCGTGCCCTTTTCTCTATCACATCGACGTCTCCAGTCGTTCAATTTATCTGCTTGTTCTTTGTCCTTCTCCATGACCTACAGGCTCCACAGGCTCAGGACAAAGACCGCTCTGCTCTCTGCAGCTCGCCCAGGGCCAGCCCACAGCAGGCCCTCCAGGAGCGCTTGCTGAACCACTCCCCCACCTCCGGGCTTCTCCTGTGCCGTCGCTCCTCACAGGAGAGGCCCGACAGAGGCAGGCCGGCTGCAGGGCACCTCCAGACCCTCTCAGCCGGCGGCCAGGGCAAGCTGGGCAGAAATCTGCACAGCGGAGACGCCAACCCTGCCGTCTTCCCCGCTCAGGTGACTCGTTCCTTTCTTACTATTTGCCTTTCCTAATCAGGGGTTTATGAATGATCCATTACACTCAGTGGTTAATTGCCCTTCATAAAGCTAGCTTTTTATTTTTAAATTAGGCAGTTAATATATTGAAACTAATAGCATCACCTTGTACACTGTGGATAGATCTTCATTGATTGGCGCCTGGAATGTGTGATTCACACCCAAGTTAATGGAGCAGTTGAGGGAAGAAGTGCAGGGGGTCCCAGGGGACCAATTACTCCTAATGAATGATGATGTGACCTTCTCAGAACAGTGAGCAATCGGTGTGACAGTGAGATGGCAGCACCTCACATCTGTCACTCCACACACAACTTCAGATGTGGGTGGGAGGGAGCTCAACTCACTCTGGGACCCTCACGCCCAGGACTCCTTGGAAACAGCAACGTAAGTTCGTCTGAAATTCACACTTTCTAAATCAAAGCACAAGTTTTATTGGAGTTGCATCTGTCCTAAAGAATCCAGTGGGAGACACGTAAGCACTGCCTTCCCAGAGTCCTGTCCATTTGTGCCACCATGTCCTCTTCTGATGTGTCACCATGGGTTCTGTCTGGGACCAGTCCTAGGTGGACTCTTCATTATTTTAAATTACTAAAATTAATAAAAGTAGTCACCATGATTGTGAAGACGGTGACATGAACACAACCCTGCAGGGGCTCAGGGGCAGAGGTGGTTTGCTGTCCCTCACACTCATGCCCAGGACCGGGCACCTGGCTTGCAGGCGCCCTCACTAAGCAGCCATGCGGCGAGGAAAGGGGCCTGGGCGGGGACAACCACCCCTCCCTCCAGAGAAKAAAACACAGAGGCGCTGGGGCCGAGCTGACCCAGGTCACCCAGTCTGTGGAGACAAGGCCGTGAGCCCCCAGGGTCTGTGGTGGCAGGCATGGGCCCTTGCCCAGGAGGGCAAGACCACTAGGACCCTCAGGTGGAAGCCCAGTGCCCTGGGAGGGACCCTGCAGGCCCAGCTCTGCCGCAGGTGTCCTAAAGCCCGGAGAGAGTGCCTCAGCTGCCCCCATGTGTGCACGAGGGACAGGCAGGGTGACTTGGGGTCCAGCACCAAAGGGAGGCCCTGAGTGGCTTATGCTGTGGACTAAATGTGTCCCACAAAATTCACGTGCTGAAGCCCTGACCCTCGATGTGGCTGTCGGGAGCCAGTGCCTGGGAGGACGAGAGTGTGGTTCAGGTGACACCGAATCAGGAGTGGCGCCCTGATGTGACAGGACTGCTGTCCTCATGAGAAGAGGCCCCTGAGAGCCCTGTGCACTTCCTCTTGCTCTCTCCTGGGGACACAGGAGGCCCTGGCCAGAAAGCAACTATGCTGACTCCCTGGGCTGGGACTTGCAGCCTCCAGAACTGTGGAGAAACAAGCGCGTGACATTGAAGCCACCCTTGCAGACAGTGGGATCCAGCGGGCTGCCCGAGCAGGCCGACAGACAAGGAGCCCCRCAGGGAAGGCCAGGCCTGGCCCAGCTCCCAGAGAGTGGCAAGGCAGTCTCCGCAAAGAGGAACTGCGGCTGCCGCAGGCCAGCTCCAGGCGGGCTACTGTCCCCAACCCCAGTGCCAAGAACCTGGGAGAAAAGGAGCCTCCTGCAGGGTCCTGGCTGCCCCGATGGCCCCTCCAAGGCCCTGGCTGCTGCCCTGGCGCACTAACCCCAGGAGCTCCTGGGGGTGGGCACCGCCCCACTTTCTGGTCCAAACTGGATCTTTGAACTGACCTTTACCTCATCCTAGCAGGCCAGGACGCGCCTCTGAGTGACAACGTCGCCTGGTGCAATTACCGAGCTTCAGATGAGGCAGTCCTTTACAAATCACCTCGGACTTTACACATCTGCTGGCTGTCGGCATCTGCCAGGAGCGCTCACCCGAAAATAATGAAAACCCTCTCATTATTGTTCCGTGGCAGGTAAAGTGTTAGGACAATTATTGGACATCCTGAGTGACCTTGGGACGGCTCAACAGCCTGCCCTCTCCAGCTTGCCGAGGACGGGGAAGCCAGGGGCTCTACCTGGAGGGCAAAGGGGAGGCTGGGTGGGGGTGAGGAGGCTGCCAGGGACAGAACCACCCAGGCCCCTCCCCCGGCCCCCTCCTCCCCACCCTGCCCCGGATTTGTCACTTCCGTCCCACCAGAGGCCCAGAGTCAAATCCTGCTTTCCCTCAAGGCCTGGAGTGAGATCTTCCCCAGGAACTCTGCCCCGCCTTGCCCCGACAGAGTCCACCCA